GGGGGGGGGGGGGGGGGGTGTCTAAAAATCGGAATAAATGCCTTACGTAATTTGTGGACGGCCCCTGAACAGCTATAAAAGTTACTAACAAATAGGTACAGCATGGAAGAGTTCCCTCTTGACATCGCGAAAATTCATAATTAAAACAAGGACACACAATAGGTGGGTAGATATTCCTTTTCCATACAGCCGGAGAGCTGTTGTACTCGAAGCCACCTATCTATCATCCGCTGACGCAAGGGAGAGGGAAGGGGGAGGGGACTTGCACCGATCCTGAGGATCATGAATTTCGTACGTAACAGAAAGATGGAAAGAGAGGGGAGTGGGGGATGGCGGGAGCGGAGGGCGAAGACAGAACGTGCCTAAACCAGAGTAAAGCGAGAAGTTCCTCGACTCATTCCGAGAAAACAAATTTGGAGAAGAAAGGGTGAGGGAGCACCTAAGAATTGGATTGATAATGAAGCGATTCGGTAGCATATCAAAGGGGAAAACCGAAGTGTCGAAAAATCAGAGTGAGAGAATCAGAATGAAACGAGCTGAAATCGCTCGCTCGGGCTCCGAATCCCGAGAAAAGGGTTCCTTATCTACCTGCTAGACCGCCAGCAGACTGCCAGACATCCGGTGGCCGTGTCGTCGCCAATTCGTTCGGATTCCTAGTAAAACCAACCGAAAACATTTCGATGCCGCTGACCCTTCCATTCGAATCTGGCGGGAATCTAACTTTCAGCAGCCGGCCAGGTTGGCCTAGTGGTCAGCGCGTCTGACTCTAGGTCAATAGGTCCCGGGTTCGAATCCCGGTGGTGGCGTCTAATTTTCACGGAATTGACGAGTAGATCTGCTGAAACAGATTCTCCTCGGCCCTAATCCCTGAAAATTAGAAAAGCCTGGAGCATGGAGCCTGATGTCTACGGACACTAAACATTGTCTAAAGTTGGCTGAAGGTGCAATTGACACGAAGCCATTAAACCAGCAGAAAAAAAAAAAAAAAAAAAAAAAACTTTCAGCATAGCGAAAAGAGTATTTGCCATGCTCATAAATATTCGACTCAGGTTTTTTGGAATACCTACAAGAAAACCAACCAAAATGCTTACGTCTTTGTTTCTGAGAACAGGATTGCCACAGAATTTGGCAAATGTACTCGTACTTCCCTGAAATTTTCTGGCAAAGGACGATTTCAGAAACGGTTGAGAAGACAATGATTTTGAAATAGTTTTCACGATTGGGGGATGATAAAGCGCTTGTATGTACATATATGTCAACAAAAAGGTGACAATTTCACAGAAAAGTGTTTACGCTTCAGCAGGGCTGGGTAGAAGCTAAAAGGCCCGTGCGGCTGGAAGTCGGAAGGGCCCGTGGGGCCAAAAGGTGACAGCCCCCACCGGAGGGGGTTACGGGGGGCCTCCCCCGGAAAATTTTGAAAAATTGACCTGTAAATGCTTCATTTTACACCACTTTTTTAATATTGTACGCTTCAGGGAGCGCTAATTTTCAAGTCCTAAAATGTGCAGGATACGACCCTTTTTCACACTTTATGGTATTTTTTAAGCAAAACAATTAAGTCGAGGCCGTGAAATATCTCAAATTTTTCAGAATTTCTTGACATAATTCATGAAATTTTCTGATTTTATCATCATTTAAATTTTGCAACCGTAGATGCGGACGGGGGTGTTAACCCCTCCCCTGAAAGAAGGAGATCATGACACGCCAAGTCTGGAGGACTGAACGAAACGAATCCTGCGAGTCGGAAACGACCGAATCTTGACTCCGCGGAACCCGGGCTAACAACAAATTGCACGAATCTGTTTGCCCGATTCTGGTAGTGACTACGGCGGTTTTGCAATTTAATTTCTGACCCCTATGGGCCCCTTCCATAATTCTTTTAAGCAAAAAAATAATCTTTGCTGAGGGAGGAACTAAGCTGGGCCCCTTGAGAGCCGGGCTTCCTCAAATTGCGGGCCCGATCCCCATTACCAAAAAAAAAAAAAAAAAAAAAAAAAAAACCCAGCGTCAGGGGCCCGCAAAGCTTGGGGCCCTGCTCTATCCGGCCCTGCGCTTCAGAAAGTAGTTCTTGGACCTCTGTTCACCACTATGCGTAAAAGCACCTCTCTTCACTCCTAACTCTCTCTTCTTCCGTTCATTTAAGAAATTTTTCAAAAAAAAGCATGTGCTAACTACGGCACATACAGAAATGCGCTCACTGCTCCCTTCGCTAGCACACTGAAAAAAAATTCTCGGCGTTTTTACCAAAGCCCGTTGGTACCTTTACCATCTCACTTTTTTTTACCAATTATTGGTAATTTTACCAAGACAGACTGGTAAGCTTACCAAAAAACCGGTATTTTTACTGTTTTTTTCAGGTATGAATACCACTTTTATTGGTAATCAGTTCCCGGTAACTTTGCCATTTTATCTCGGTAATTCTACCACAGTCGATAAAAAATATTGGCGTTTTTACCGAGGTCCAGTAAAATTACCGAGAAACTTCAATAATTTTACCGAGATTCTCGGTAAAATTACCAATTCCGTTAATGGTAATTTTACCAAGAAAAAACTGGGATCAAATAGAACCCTGAATTCTTGGTAATTTTACCCTTTTCTTAGTAAACACACCGAGATTTTTTTTCAGTGCACGGCAGAATTTCCATGCGAGTGCGAGGCTGCGAGTGGGCTAAATTCGGTTTCATGCAGCGGCTCCACGAGTAATTCGTCGTATCTCAAACGGAGATATGTAGCTCCATCCCAAGGTTGCAAAATAGACTCAAACAAATATATGATTGTGATATTTGATATGAAACAAATATAAACAAAGAATGCCCTGTGCAATTTTTCTCCAAAATCGTTCTGATTTTTGCAGAGGCAACATCAGAAGAAAAATCCATGAATTTTCAGTTGGAAATGCCCTATATCCTCGTTGTGCAATTTGTGAGGGGAAATTTGGCAACATTGAAATGTAGTTAGGTTCTCTCGTCAGAAGACGACGAATAAATTGACTGTGTCGTCAATTGATAAGGGCTCCGCTCTTTCTGTTTTAGTCTGTAAAGAAATACACTAATCCAGTATTTATCATGCTTTATTTCTCCTTGTCATATTTTTACACGCACTATAGATACATATTTCTTTCACACTGATGATTACACACTAAGTATTACTGTGAACTCTCCAGCACACGCAGGGCTAAAGCAATTTGCCTCCAGTGACACATGGACGAACATGAAAATCGGCGAATCTTTGATTTTAAACACGATCGTGGGACTTGACGCCCCGAGAAATATTTTAAGCCGCGTATGATTTTATCTTTTCCAATTTTAGAAATTACTGCCCTGGTGCCTTACATTTTTTTCTTTGGTTTGCCGCACTAATAACAAATATATTTGCTTATACAATATCGAAAGCTTTCTTCGTGCAAATTATTGACAAAATGTGTTGTCTTATCATGTTCGGCTAGAAACTGATCGAAAAATCTACAATGCGTACCAAAATACGTTTACCTTACCAATTAATCCATGTTGTCAGTAAACAGAAATTCGAAGGTACACGTAAAATGCGTGTGTTGCACGCGATGCACGAAGATGAAGAGGATGGTAGTGGTCACTAACTCTCAGAGTATTCAGCAAAAATGATCTCATATAGAGCTAAAGTGGCTAGATTCACAACCGGTCTATGCCTATAGGGTGCTTGAAAGGGTCCCTCTCAAACTTTTAAGATTTTCTCCTTGTGATACATTATTGAAGACATTTTTTCTATAAAGAATGTTGACATAAACTAGAGGTAGCTATGATTTTTTTTCTCGAGTTATCCTTTATCTAAGTTCAAAACAAGCCTATTTTCAAAATAACACAAATCTTGTTCAAAAAATCTCAAGGGCGTGAATATCTTGGCATGAAGTATTCTTTCGTGGAAGACATCGTCAAAAATCTTATCTATTCATACTTCTGTTTATTGATGAATCTCAGCTCCGTATGATTACCTACTTAAAAATTACCCTGTTTTATAAACCTCAATTGAATATCTCCTCAGGGCAAAACATCGTAGTGACCTCGAGTTTGTGCCAACAAATTGTCCCCTATCATATTTTTTCCAATGATTACCTATCACAAAAGCAGGGAGTGGTTCCTGTCCGCATGTTTTGTCTTAGGTTAGTACTGTAATTACTAGACTGTTATTATTGACCAAGAGACACTCCTAAAGTTTCGTTTGGAGACAAGCGTGCGGACGTGTAAAAATTGGGGGGGGGGGGACCAGGGACTTTTTGGATACCCCTAGTAACTATCACTATTCTCTTTACTATCCATGTGCTGTGCTAAGGCAGATGCTCATGGAAGCAAATAGCTGGTAAAACGCATTATCAGCTATGCTTACACTAATTGTCGCATATCGATGGCTAAGGCTAACATGCGAAACCACGTATCTCCGTTTGCGAAGTTGGAAACTACCCATCACACTTTCTTTTTTCCTCGGGATACTGAGAAGTAAATGTTATTTCTTGAACATTTTCTGAATCATTCTTCTCTGTAAAAAAGAATATTCGTGTATAACTAGTTAGGCAGCAGCCACCCGTCGGGGTTTTTTATTTTTTTTTTTTTTCTTTTTTATTTTTTTATTTTTTTTTTTTATTTGGTCTCGTCATTTTAGGGGGAGTTTTTTAGGATTGGGCCGAGGTGGCTGCCGCCACCTAGAATTCTGTGTACATTTTAAGCTATCGGGTTTGCGTGTCTGTGTATCTCTTCGAAAAAATGAAAGAGCGGCGTGAATTTAAAAACATTGCAATTAGGATATGCGGTTTCGCACTTTGGCCATCGAGGTGCCTCTCAGAAAATAAAAATTAAAAATAATAAGAAGTCAATTATTATAATGTGACTTCAATCGCGTCTCTCCAGAGAATGAAAAATTGCTTGTAGAATCTACTTGGTCCTATAGTTTCGAATGTTTCGATGGTCCCAATCTGCTTGATGTGTGCCGTAAATTTTATGACTTCCAGGAGACGCCAACGTGGTATCCACGAATCTGCTTTGAGAATGGTGTCCTTGACACCACACAGGCACACAACTTCGCTCCTCTGACGCAAGGGCGTATCTCAATTTCAACGTGACGCCTGTTTTACATGTAAGTCCATGCTTTCTGGGGCTCATGCAGATATCGAGATAAGTCCTAACGCCAGAGGAGCAAATGATAACGTCGGATCCTCTGTGAAAATTGATCCTCTTAGCGGGAATGATGTGTCACAAACGGAGTACCTTGGCAATGCCGATTAGTCACCGAAAAAGACCGGTGATTCCACCAGACGGTTAGAACCTCCTTCCTTGCACAGCAGCCAGTATGTGTCCAAAACACCCTTTCCCTAAATAGTGAAAAAGTTGAATCAATTATAAGCCCTTAAATGAATTATAGTTTTTGGTTTTTACCAAATGAGTTCAAAAGTTACGTAACGCTCTAAGGGGAGGTATGAGTCTGCGTGACGAAACGTTACAAGAGGGAGGGAGATCAAAAATGCTGCAAAACTGCGTTACGTAATTTATGGACGCCTTTAAAGAGCATTTTCACAGGCACGTGTTGTGAAAATTCTTCAGGGAAATAATGCACTTAAAGTTTGGTCTTTATCTTTCACTTCCATACTATGTGCTATTGTAACGAAATGATTAGTTAAAATTTCAGAACTCACTTTAAACCTACTTACGTTTAAACTTCAAAAGTATCGTTCTTCCCTCATTCTCTTGGAAAAAGGCGTAAGTTAAAGTTTCAAATTAGCCTGTAATTAGCAAAATAAAAATTTTCCCACCAAAAGAATGGTCTCAGAGCTTTAGAACAGAGTTTAACCCTTCGTTTTGAAATCCCAAAAATAGATTTTATCATTCCACTTATCGAGAAAATCAGTTTTTCGTCACTCTTTTCTAGGGACGCCTTTCTCCCAGAAACCGATTTAGTCGTAAAGTTCGTTTCACTGTACTTGCGGCGTATTGAACGCATTGATTGAACTTCATTTTGCAATAAGGAATTATTATGTTTGCCGCATTTCAGAAACCACATAATATATCATTAGGTTCCCTAAACAGATAGATGCTTATTGCTTATGTAGATGTGCCGAAAATAGTAGTTCCTAATTACATGATGTAGTCCAACAAATACGTAAGGCTTTAAGGGGTGGCTCGAGATATTGACCGCACGGAAAGTGAAGTTTCTATTTCATCAATTACGTATTAGTCAACGTGACAGTAAGGGAAAATGACGTTTAGCGGCTGTTGCAGCAGATAGGTGACGTCATCCAATCTTCCATCATCCAATCTTCCATCAGAAAAGTGACTGACCTACCTTGATGTCTACAAAGCCCCTGTGTTCAGTTCGGAACCCTCCGACCCTATCCAGAGCTTGTTTCATCTCCATACTGATATGAATTCTCAACGCTGCAACAAAAGAAGTAAAACGTGGGCAAAATTATCAGGATTACCTATCTCACGGAGGGTAAGGAATCATGGGGGCAACCCAACAAACTGACACACGTGACAAAAATGCATGAGCGACAGGGTGGCATGAAACGAAAGAAAGAAATGAAAGATTGGACATTTCAGTGAAATATTTCATGAAATTTCACGAGGCTGTGAAATATTTCATATTTTTCAGGGGCCAGAGTATGCAACCCGCACTCAAACACCCAAAAATAGAGGAAAATCACGATTTGTAAAACCTTCGAAACATAAAAAGGAACTCGTATTTTTCAATATCTTTCATAAATTTCGTAAATTTCATGGAATATTTCACGTGAAATTTCAAGATTTTATTTTTCATAAAATTTTGCCACCCTGATGAGCGAGCTCCGAGCTCTCGCAACTCTGATAAGGCCGGCCGTTTTCCGATATCTTCGGCACTATCGGAGCGCTTAGTGGCATCAAGATGGTACCGATAGCTCATCTGCCAGAATTCATTTGAACACCCCTAAGTTTCGGTAACAATATTAGTACTTATAACAGGACCGACTCGAATGAATCGGTGGCATAAAATCAGCATGGTGACTGATTGAAGGTTACTAAGAATGGGCCTGTTGCAAACTTTTGCTAGAGCAAAACTAAGAGTTGTTTCTTATAGATAATGCCTCAAAAATCACGATGAGCGCATCGGCAAACTCTGAAATGCACTCATAACTTCACAATCTGCGTAAGAAATTTGCGGTTTTTTGAGCTTCCCGCTTCAAAAACGATACTACGGCACAGGTGAACATTTTGTAAGAGGAGTCGTTCCATCGTCGGCAATAATCATCATAGCCGACGCCAATCCGCCAAAACACGTTTGATGGGACGAGATAACACCTGAACTGGATTAGACCAGATAACAATCGGTGTGTTAACGTTCATATTTTCCACGCCCGAATTGATTGACCTTGAACTCTCCTTGAATTACGCGCGGAACTGCGTGCAAGCGTCGGCCATGATGAATATCGCCGACGATGGAGCGACTCCTCTAACAAAATGTTCACCTATGCCGTAGTATCGTTTTTGAAGCGGGAAGCTTAAAAAAACGCAAATTTCTTACGCAGATTGTGAAGTTATGAGTGCATTTCAGACTTTGCCAATGCGCTCATCGTGATTTTTGAGGCATTATCTACAAGAAACAACTCTTATTTTTGCTCTAGCAAAAGTTTGCAACATGCCCATTCAGGTTGGGCCTGGGATCAGACATGAGCATGAATTAAAAAATGAATAAAATCTCGTAATTTCTCGCAATACACAGTTCAACGTGTAAGAGTATTCGACGTCATGACCAAAGAGGCCGTCCAAAAATTACGAAAGGCTCTCAGGGGGGAGGGGGGGGGTTCTGTTGCCAAATTTAACTGGGCGTTTTAATTTTTTAGAAGAGATCGTCTGTGCGGATTTCTTTTGAAAAAGTTGAGGAATTTGCGTCGTACAATTCCGGAAATTCACTGAAATTTGGACAAAACCCGTGCAACCGTTTTAATGTAAAAAATCAAATTGCTCGATTACATTTGGCAATAGCTGATGTGGCTGAGAGCTTTACTGGTCGGCAGAACTGATTCAGCGCATCCGCTCGGGTCGAGTGCTGGGGTGGGCCGATTCTGAGCGGAGCGTTGCTTTTCCCCCTTTCCCGCCTTTTCTTATCTCACTTTCCACTAACACCTGACCAAAAATTCACGAGAGAATCGAACGTAATCTTGTCGCTTCGAAGGGGCATGAATGTTCGTTCGCTCGCGAAGGACTTCCTGCGAGAGGACCTCTAATACACGGACCGCGTTTAGGAGCCAAGCCATATTAGCTAATGCCATATTTAAGTGGGAAATTCAATTTTTTGCAAGAGAGCGTGTATGAGGATTCTTTTGAAATTTTTAAGGACTTTGCTTCGTACTATGCAAAACAATCACTGACATCGGCACGAAAATCCGCAAAAACCGTTGTCACGTAAAAAAATAAGTTGCCCGATTAAATTTGGCAATAGCCAATGTGGCTTGGTTTCTTTCTGCTTAACGTGGTCTATACGAGCTTTAAAAAAAAAATCGGATCAACCGAGCGAAATATTCTCACTGTTGATTCATGAAGAAATAATAAAAATAAATAATAAATGGTGGAGACATTGTGAATTTCCTCTAAAACTGTCAGTGTCACATTTGGATGGGGGAGTGGGTGATGACCCCTGTAAAGTTGGAAGTTTACCATCCAAAGGAGCGATTTTTTTTTTTTTTTTTTTTTTTTTTTTTTTTTTTTATTTATTAAATTATGACTTTTAGACTCAGCATCAATAGACAAATGCAATGGAATGAAAAAATTGAACATCGCATCGGTGCGGGGACAAGATTCCATATGCGGGTGTGCAGGGTATTCCAAATTTTTCAATTTTTCTACAAACAGAGTAAGTCAAAATAGTCGATTTGTGTCATGAAAAATTTCACGGTACTCTTAATGTAATCAATCTAGAAAGAAAATAAGAAGAGATAAAACACACGTACCCTCGCCTGTAGACTCCATCCGCGATGCTGTATTGACTGTATCTCCAAACAGGCAGTATCGAGGCATTTTTGAACCCACAATACCTGGAAAGTTTCGAATTGGTAGGAGTAAAATTTTATAGAATCAGTTGAAATATTAATAAAATTATAGCGATTCAGTGTGCCGACTTTTAATTGTTTGGTTAAAAGTATACTGTCTTTCAGAATGAAATTTCATTTGATTTACATGATTGGTGGCAGTTGGAATGCTTGAAAGTTGACAACACTGTTTTCCCTCCATTTAAATGTATGTAAAACAGTCGATTCGAGGCAAGCTGCCTTATCTATAATCGATATTTTCCATGGATTTCAATGGAGGGAAAACAGTGTTGCCAACTTGCAAAATCGCCACTAATAGGTGGTTTTCTTTACAAAGCGAGTATTTTCTGTAGCGCAACTCTACTTAAGAGGAAAGAGTATTCATTTCTTGTAATTAGTCCCATTTTTCTCCGTTTTTTGACTCTTTACATACGGCAAAGATGGAAATATAACCGTATATTTTAATCTACCCCCGTTTTTTTGTAGTAGGATGTAAATAATGAAACATTCACCTGCGACAACTGGTCCAGTATGAACGCCAATCCGAATTTGCAGCCGCTCATTATCTCGATGGGGGACCTTCACTTCTGCTGAACCATAGAGTAGATCCAGTGCCATTGCCGCAATTTCTGTTACATGTTTATCCCCTGAAAGAGCGATAGAAAACTATTCAAGTTGTAAAAATTTAAATAAATCTCGTAAAGAAATTGGACTGCATTTTGCAATTTGGAACTACATTTTCAGGCTAATCCTTAAAAACACCAATCTGCTAGGGAAACTTATAGCACACATGATGTTTCTAATATGAGCCAGAAATTGTAGTTCCTACTTGTTAAATGCAGTCCAATTGATCTTTTGCTCGAAACCTATACAGCTGTGCTAAGGAGAAACGTCGTATAAACATTCGAGAGTTGCCAAAGCTCCTCCAATAGAATGTTTAGTTCTTAGGGAAGCTATGTATATTTTCTCTTTAATTTTTTAGACACTTTGAATCTGATTATGAATGCAATACCCTGGAAAATTGGAGGAAAAATATTCCTAGACTTCCCTGGAAATTTGTATTTTATGAAAGGAAATTAAGCAACATCTGAAGGCTTTTATACTACGTTCTTCTTCAGCATGGTAGCGTATTAAAATAATTTATCTTTTGTTTAAAAAAAAAGAGACAAAATTGATTGGATTCACTGATTTTTTCAAAACGAAGCTGATATCTACTATATGGTAAGGAACAACCAAACAATGCTGATAAAAAAAAATGAGTGACAACCCACTCAATATTTTTTCAATTTGCATTCTATGAACACGAGACTGATTCGCCTGAGGTTCCTAAATCTATCATGACAGTGATCATAAAGCATAAAAGTCATCTAATCTAATACACTTTTTTGATATGTGGCTGCGCTCCATATATATCTTTTTACTTTCTCACTACCCTAGGGTGGAGGAAGTATTGTCATCCTCCAAGGGGAAAAATAAAAAAAGTTGAAATTTCATCTTTTTTCCCCCCTTTTCATGTTCCAAGTCGGAGGCCAAGAGTCACGGATTCAAAAGTAAAATTGCTGGTTCATGTCTCAAAAATTATAGGGAAGTCTTCACGAATTAAGTGTTCTTGTCACTAGTCGTCCCCCCTGTGACGTATATAAAGGGCGTACCTTTAATTTCACGTGAACCCTGTTCTCCGTATAACTCTATTCTTCCCGTGGCTCATGTTGAAATAGAGGAACACCCTTTACGTCAGACGTTCGAGAAGCAACGTGGTGACGAAGTGGGGGGAAATCCGAGCATTTTATATTTCCCCTTTGAATTCAAAATAATGATTGAGCTTATACTTTAAATACTCATGTATAAGTGAAGTCAATCTTACCATTTTTGTCAGGTAATCCTGAGGCAACCATGTACGAGTCACCAATCGTTTCAACCTTGTAAACATCATAACGTTCTATACGGGCGTCGTACAACTTGTAAATTACGTTCAAGAATGTCACAACCTGGGTAAAAAACAGACTCATCATTTATAGCATATTTTTTCATCCCATACATACAGAATCTTTTCCCTCTAGCCGTTTTTGCTTACTCTTTTACTTATACCGATTCACTCATTTATTTGTGATAGTGCGGACCACATTTTTTCATCGTGGTTTCTCATTTGTTTCTTTAGACCTCTAACTTGCTCTCAATTTTGCTTAAACCGATGGTGCAGCGTGTCTAAATAGTGTATACTACGAAAACTTTATCTGTTGAATTTGTGCTGAAATTATATTTGTACGCAAACCCTCTCGATGCGAAAAACGTATGCGAACGTATGCAGCATTGCAGCGTGCAGCCTTATCAGAGACAATCGTTTTAATTTATGTTGAGTTAAAAATCGATGTTAGCTGTTGATTGATTTTATCTTTTTGACTTTCGTATCTTGCTGACTTTCTGTTTTACAAACTACTGTCAGTCTGTAGATATGGCCATTTCGAGACTCTTGGTCCTCGTAAATTATTGGTCCTTTCAATATGAAAAATAGTCATTCTCGCGATGAAAAGTCCGCAAAAGTGGAAAAAAAAAATCATCTTTGTGACCGGATGATGAATACCTAGTTACCCAAAATAACTATCGACTACTTAACCGTTTTGTGAAACAGAAAGTGCGATGAGTCAACGTGATAAAATCAATTATGTTAACAGCCCGTTAAAAAAGGCAAAAAGTCAACCCAAGTGGAGGATTTACATTTAATTGTTACCTCGTGTGGCGTGATGTCGGCAGCAATTTCTGTGAATCCGACTATATCGCTGAAGTAAATTGTCACCGACTCATAAAACTCAGCCGAGACCTGGGTGCGGAAAATTCAATTATTAGCCACAAAATACAGCATATCTCTAGTTTTGGGTAGACAAGTAATGATTCTAAAACAATGATTAGAAAAGTAACCTGAAATTTTTTCAATCGATTGATTGATCAGATACATGAGTTGGTCGAAGAAAGATTGAGTTTTAAAATCTGCATGGGGCTTGTTTAAATTTTGCATGCATACTTTTTTTGAGCTTGACTCTAAGGCAATAGTAAATGGTCATTGGTGCCGGCCTTAATGAGGAAAGGCTTTATAATTCAAATGATCTTCGGACTGAATAGATCACATTGAGCAGAATTACGAACCAACGCAAATTTTCTTTTCATGTTTCATTTTTTCACAAGAAAATAAAGCAGCGTTTTGCCTTGAAACTCTTTGCATAAAGTTTTTCGGAGAAATTCAAGAACATTTTCGAGGCCTTATTTTGCTCTCTTTGAAAACCAACCTGGGTGAAAAGACAAAAGTAGACATAGGTACCTTTCTTCGGTGCTTAAGTTGTTTTGCAACGCTTGGTGGCAACATTTGGTATAGGAGATTATCACTTTTATGTTTTTCTTTTTTGAGCTCTTTGGCTTTTTGAGCTAGATGTGCTGCATACATCTGAAAACGACGGAGAGGAAAAATGCCGATAAGTTATGCTCACCATAGTTTGTATGCAAGAATTATGATTTTATGAACGAATGACCATTTTTAATAGCATACCGGTAGAAAATTTGATTTAAAAATTCAAAAGTGAAATTCCGCTCCGTACTTGGCAGAAAAAATTGTTAGCGTCAAAGAAACAAGAATGCAATACTTAAACGGCGTCTCCTAAAACTATTCCTGCCTCATTCTTTAATTATGTTTTTCAAATAGGGTACATACATCTGTTGTGGTTAGGGTTAGGCCACCTTCCGAAATAAATTCAGTCAACGAATAATTTTCTCATCTTCTTCTTCTCCTTCTCATCCTCTTTCTCCCTCTTTTTCCTCCTCCTTCCTCCTCCTCCTTCTTATTCCTCCTCCATTTCCCTCTTGTTCCTCTCCTCATCCTCCACTTTTCACCTCTTCCTCTCCTCCTCCTCCTCCTCCTCCTCCTCTTCTTCACCACTACGTTCACGTTCTTGCCGAACGGATGAGGGCTGAGAGCAGACGCAATTTTCTGCTGCTTTGCTAAGAAAGACTAAAACCGTCCATCACCATCTCAATGAAGTATTCATTCTTTTATGATTATTTTTCCATAAAATTTCCAAGATACACAAGAATAAATCGCAAATGAAATCCTCCAAATAATACAGCCGCATACAGTGAGAAGTTTTCCAAAAATTTCGTATTTTTCAGAAATAAACTTATCTAACCTCCGAATTATCTCGCGGCATTTTCTCTAATAGCATTTCTCATTGTGCGTTACTTCAGAAAATTTTTCACCCCAATTTGCAATTATTTTTCATGTACTCGGCACAATGGTTTTTGTATGACCCAACCTTTTCAAATCGGCATTAGAAGAAATTGTAGTCATCGCAAGAAACGGATGTGCAAATACCTGGATTGTAGCCACAGCATTTCGCACCAGCACGATAATGATCGGTGATATGACTAGAACAGACACCAAGATTGTTGAACCTAATACTTGCTGATTATAGGCTTCCAAAAGATCCTTTGCTACCCACTCTCTGAAAAAAAACATTATTGACACGAGATTAACTACTGAAAAGAGCCTTTAGAAGAATTTCTTGTATTTAGTGCATCGTTTTTTCGTTAAACATTTTAAGTTGCTTCTTTTACAAGGCATTAAAAACTCACAAACTTTTTAATTGAACCGAGAAGTTTTCCAACGTTAAAATTGATGTATACACATACAGAATGCAATGTACATGTCGCAGGCAATCAGCTACCCCGGAATTTTGAAAGCCAGCGGTGAAACATGTATAAACGACACAATTCATGAAATAAAAATAAAATAAAATAAGAGAACAAAAAGAGAGCACTATTTACTGCACCCACACTTCGGACGGACCCGATTTCCTCCTTGAAGGTACCATAGTCAATGGCAAACCCCGGAAGTCAGGTAGTGCAATCCGTGACCTCGGTTGGACTTATAGTTCTCCGATCGAGCCGAAACCAAGCTAGTCCGCTTGGAAATGACTCGTTGAGTCGGATTTTCTGGTCGGAAAAGCTCCACGAGTCCGCGGTAGCGACAAAAACGCACTTTTGCAACAGGGTCAGACACACTCGTTTTCGCCGCCGTTTCTCGGCTTAGGGAGCTCCGGCGAGTTTCGGGACCGGGCGCAATTGACACTAATCTCGACATTTTTTTCCCCCTCCGAAATCGAGAAAAATCCACAGGCAGGGGTACGTACCAAGGACTAAATTTTAAGGGTCAAAATTGAAAGGTCGAATGGACAACTGAATCAACTCCTCGACAAAGCGTGAAGTATTACGAAAAAATGAAGGCGCTCCGAGTCGAGATTGTGTTTTTGTAGGTCATTACCAATGCATCCCCCGCATAATGCCGATGTATATTAGTATGATTGGTTATCGAAACCGATTGAGCGGCTTGCTGGCGATTGCAAAAACAAAGAAAAAATATGTCTTAACCATTTTCCTAGGTTGGGGAGTAAACTGGTCACATCAAGAAAGCACTTTCTGCGCCAAGCAAAATAGGAGTGATAGGAAAAGTTTTATTACCACAAACAAATTTTCTGAGGTTTCCAGTTTTCTTTTTGCTACTTAAATCTAGAATTTTTTCCCCTGATTTGAAAAATAGAAAATGTTTTTCCAAAACTCCTCGCGTACCTAACCATGGTCTTATTACAGATGGTATGTAGAACATGGGTTGATTTCTTTAAACATAAATATGAAGAGTTGTCAAAGAAATCAAGTTTTTCCATGTTTTCTCGAACCTTAATTTTCAGCGGTTACGACCCCCTTCAAATAAGCGGTTCAATTGGTGTACTGAGAACACAAATCATAATAACAAATCAAACATCCGTTTACCTAATGATAGAGCATATATTTTTATTTTTGTCATGAGAATCGAAAAATTATTTCACTTACTTTATAAGCCGACGTAGATGTTTGACTAACTCTCTAAGATCTTCCGCGTATTTGCCGATGGAGTCGAAGTATTCAATGGCTGCTGTTATGTTGGGCGCTATCGGTGCATTTTTGAAAATCTCATCTCTCCTGAGGAGGCATACGAAAAAGTAAAAAAAAATTAAAGCATACCTCGTTCCTTATAAAGTCTAAACTCGATTTTAAGTGATAGATAAATGCGTTTTAGGCTAGTGATTTTAGGTGTAAGGAAAGGCATTTAGACTTCATACCATATACACTGGAAAAAAACACATTGGATCTAGCGTCTATAGACTCTTAAAAACATCGAAAAGAAAAAAAACTCTTGATTCAATCAGATTTAAGCTTAAGTCAAGAACCAAGCCCCTTAATTTGAGCGGATTTCCTTTTGATTTAAGCTTAAATCTGATTGAATCAAGAGTCCTTTTTCTTGTCAATGTTTTCAAGAGTCTGGACTCTAGATCCAATGTGTTTTTTTTTCCAGTG